ACTTTTCTTTAGAAGCTTCATTTTGATATTTTCTAATAAATTTTCTATTATGAGTTTTTCATAAAGAGCACTTTCTTCTAAGTTTCAATAATGCTTTTCAAGAATATTATAAGCTTCTTTAACCACAGTCATAAACTATTCTTTATACTGCTCTGATTCTATCAGCAGTAACATTTTTTATTTAAGATAAAGAAAGATACATAACTAGTTCCTCTTTCAGAATCAGTAGACTCTTGTTAACAACAAAGTTAGAATGTCTGGATTAAGAATTCCTAAAGTAAATATCAGTATCAAATATGAGTAAATCTCTTGTGTTAAAACGTGATTAATTAGGAGTTGCTCTCTTAGTAAAATAAAAAAAATGCATTTTGCATATTAAAATATCAAGCTTTTTGAATCACTAATTCTTCTTGATCCTGTTAAAAAATAACTAACCAATATGTTGTCAAGATCAAAGCTAGAAAAAAAAAATAATATTATAATAAAATTATAATATGACTTTTTGTTATAGGTTCATAAATAAATAAGAAGTTAAATATTTATTAAAAATTAATTATATTTTTACTAGTCAAATTACGTATTATAGAACTTACTATTATAGCTAGTAAACATTATGTATAAAGATTATAAAGAAAAATTATGAAGAAATTTTTTATTCTTAATTTTTTCTTATAACTCTTTTATTATATTAAAGAGTAAAGAAAAATTGAAGTGTCTTAGAATGACCTTAAACTTTTTAAAGAGCTAAAATTAATAGATGAAAAATATATACATTCAGAAGGATCTTATACATTAAAAATAGTAAAATGGAAAAGATTACATCTAATTTTTGAAGGTTTATATACCTGATCTATAATCAAAATAATAACATGTGTTTAGCAGATAATTGCTTATAAATTACTATTAAATCATATTGATAGTATCTGCAACCTTATTATGATATCATTTTTTTTCAAATATGAGGTCCAAAAAATGAGGTTAAAGAACAGCTTTAAGGAAGTTACTAAAAAATTGCTTTATAAAAGAAAAAAGAAAGAATAAAAAAGGTTTATAAACTTTTTTTTTCATATTAATGATGATAAAAATTTAACAAATATCATTTATTAAAAAAATAAAAACGTTTACAGTATTATATATTTCAAAATAATATCAAATATGTAATATCTTAAATTAGAAAGAATATAAGACAAACCCTATTTGAAACATAGCTAAAAGCAAGGAAATAATGGAAAGTCTTTCTTCTGGAGAAATCATGAGATTGTAATATAAGCAACTGTAATCACTTAGACATGATCATAGTTTAGCACTTTTTTATATATAATATTAATTTATAAAGCTAACTTATAATAAATAAAAAATTTTAAATCATATATCACTTAAACTATGTCTTAGCGTAATAGTGATTTTTGTGATTCAAAAAATTTTAAGTGTTATAAATCAGTGTTAGGCAGGTCTATATTTGCATATTTTTGAAAAACTGTATTATATCTAATCTAGCTTTTCAGATATAAGTGTGTTAATTTTATATAAATTTTATATAGTCAAATGAGATGCATCAATTGACTCATTTCAAAATTACATAAATATACATTAATTAAAGATATGTTACTTTATAATCAAAATTACGTGATAAATAATCAAATAATAATTTATAAAAAATTTTTATTTTTTTAATATTTTTAATGAATTATTAAAATAACTAATACAATTTTAATCAAATTATAAAAGAAAAATCAAAATTTGTATCTAAATCTATTAGTACTTTTAGATTTGTGATAAATAAAATTTTTAAATTCCATTTTTCTATTTGATCATCAGCAGAATAAATTTGTTTATTATTAATATTAAAAATCTTTTTTTACTCATTACTAAAATATCTTCATTATTATCAAATTGATTTTATTTTATGTAGCTTTAATCTATTTATTAATAAGGGCAGTGATAGATATTACATAATATCTTAGAAGGTAGGAGGTAACAGAGGTCCTTATGGAAGATCTTATATTACATATAATATCGAGATTATGTAAGTAATATAATAATCATTATAATGGTGGCTTAGCAAAAATTTATTAAACGCATATTTACAAATGCGTATTTATACAGATCACATACACGCATATATACTTTATAATAAAATATTATTCCCTATCTGAATTACAAGCCCTCAAGTCGAACTCCATTTTACTATATGATCCTGTTTATTGAGATGGAAGAAGACAGAAATCATTGAAAGTTTGTTATTTTTTAGGTTGTTCTCAAGTAGTAGGATGCATTAATCGCTTATGATTTGTCAAAAATATGAGAATGGGAAAGTATTTTTGGCAAACAGAATAGCAAAGTCGTAAGTATGTATTTTTTCAATTAACGTACAATGTGTATTATATCCTGGTATTTTCAAGAGATTGTCATATTAAAGAAGGTGAATAGGATTTGTAAATTGGCTATCTCTAGCTTTGGTAATAGGTGATAAGAAGCCATTATATAGGTAAAAAAAGTCCATAGCTTCCTTGGCTCTGGGTGGTTCACAGCAACTGGTATTTGTGCATCATTTAATATCAAGAGAGTAGGTGCACAAATTACAATGGGTTTCAATCTAAGACCATGATACAAAAGATTCAGAAAAGGTATGTGTTGTTTCTTTGTCTGTATTTTTGATTTTTTCTGTTCTTTTTTTCTTCATTTTAATTCTTCAACCTTTTCTTTTTCTGTTCTTTCTAATTGTATATGCTCAAATGAATTTGTGAGTACATTAATATAATAAGCATCAATCTTCTTTTCAAAAATTAAATCACGATACCAAATTTCACATAAAGCTTCTCCTGCATAGCGAAAATTTCGAGCAGCTAATTTCAGATCTACAACTTTTTCTTGTGTATTCAAATGTGTACTGTAATGGTCAATTGGTAAAGTGATACCAGTAAGTTTACTAAATAATGTTGCTATACCTCTTTCAACTGGATTATATTTGATTGTCCTGAGGCATATGTACGCACACTTAAAAAATCTAAATCAAACTTTTTGAAAAGTTGGCAATAGGCCTTAATATTTTTTAAATGTCTAGAATTCTCATCTGACCCTCCATCTACCAATAAGATCCATATCAGTCGAATTTTTCCATCCATTTTTAATGTGTTTTCATATTGGGGATTTAAGGTAAGGCTTTTCAAATCTTGCATATGTGTAAGTGAGAATGTTCCAAGAGACCAATAAGAACGTATAAAAATTGCTAACTGTCCTGTCCGCAATTCATCATTAGATTCGTTTGGATTTATCATCAAATACACTGACAGAATTAATTTCTATCTGAACCTTACAGGAAAATCGTGATCTACTATAGTTGTAGATTCATTATTGGATTGCAATGTACGAAATGTACGACCTACTGCAGGCACTCTAAAACTGATTTTCACCTTATCATCTTAAGAGATGACAACTGAAACATCAGCAAAAATGCTAGCAAATTGCTTTGCACATTTTACTGACGCGAGGCAATAGTGACTATCAGGATGTTCATGCATTTTAGTACATAAAACTCTGGCAATAGCAACTTATGCTGGATGATGATGTGCTTTTGCAGTGATCGAATTTGCTTGACGGGATATTAAGTAATTATTTAAGGTAGTTCTCACTATATAGATATCATATTTTTCTTCAAGATTTTTATATAAATTTTCTATGATCTGGATTTTAACAACTTCTTTTCGTCATTTTACATCTGCTGATTCAAATTCTATGCAATCATGTATACAGTCATGCAAATCCAGATGCTTGAAGAGAAATGATGACTTTTTAGGTTTATCATAACGGACAATCTCCTGATTTTCAATAAGTAGTTTTAGTTTTTTTTCTCTGCAATTTTGAGTATATTTGGTATTTCTTTTTAATTTGGTAATTTTATCTTTATTAGATTTAATTTCGTTCTGCAAGTTTTCTATTTTTTGATATATGTCATTATGAATCTGAGCATTACTGATTATATTGTAAATTTTCTCAAATTCGTTAAGCTTTTTTTCAGCTGTTTTGACTGCATCAGCTGCTTTTTTTTGAGCTGATGCATTTGTAGGAATTTCTGGTAAGATATTTACTAAATAAATGGTAGGAAGTGAAGGATTTGGTTTTTCTATAGGCATTGTAGGTACAGAACACTTGTATCTCATTGATTGTATATCATAAAGATTAAGCGGTGTGGCTATATAGTCTCAAATTATATCATCAATTTTTTCAGTACTCTCTTTCTTAACATTATTCCATTTATTTGTATCTTTACGACAAACAGCAACGCAATTGAAAGTATAATTACTTGTTTTTACTATAACACTATATACATAAGCATTTGTAAACTCTTGATACTTGTTATTTGGTAAATCATATATTGGTTTTTTATTAAACTTAGGACTAAAAAAAATGTTTGCCTGCTCATTTTTAATCTTTAGGATAAAGTATTTACATGTTTGTGAATGCAAAATGTGAAACAGGTAGCCAAATGCAAAATAAATGTTCTATAACACGTCAAGGACATGTTAAAAAACTCCCACAGTAAAAGGTATGATCATCATGATACAACAACAATATAATTTCACAGAATCTTGGCCATCATATTTTCGATTTGATTTTAACAGAATTTTTGAACATTTTTTATCAAATTTAAATAGTTATTTAATTTAATTTATTAATATTTTACTTTTTATAAGGCGTTAATCTTTAAACTTTTAATTTTAACTTTTAATATAGTTAATCAAAAACTAATTTTATTGTATAATTAATCAAAATCTTTGACTCTGATAATAAAATGTCAGGATCACATGACTTGATAGATTTGCACGTGATCGGAATATTTTACCTGAGGGTGGGAGGATAGGCGTTTATAATAAAATGATATTACGTAATATCTGTCACTGCCCTAACTTTCATCCCCATTTTCATGTATAACAGGAGTGCACGATAATAGACCATGTAGTTCTTTTTGGGATAAAAAGTTTGAACAAGCTTTTCTCCTATTATATATTTTCCACTTCAACTTCTTTATTATATACTAATCTTTTATTATGCAAGCTAAGCCATTCTTTTGGAACTATCTGCTTTTCTAATGCTAAAGAATAATCCACAAAGAAATCATGCAAATATATTGAAACTTTTAAATCAACTTTTAATATATATCCTATTTTAGTATCTGATGCAATACTTTGTATATCCAGAACCTGTTCTAGGCTTACTTTTCTCAATATTTCTGTAAGCATATATTGGATCATTGCATCTAAATATAAAGCATTCATATCGTCATATAAGATCTAAGATGTTAGTTTGCCTGGATTATAATCGGGTATTTAGAATTATTAGCTTTAGCATAACGATAACTTGCCATTATCATGCCTTCATGAATGCCCTTCTCAACCATCAAGTACTCATTTATATCTGTCATTAGCTTAAGTTCAGCTCCACTACTTTATATAAGGAATCATTAAACATTTCTGATGCAAATACGTAATGAAAGGGATCTAAGCCATCATCATTCAAGCATATGATAGTGTAATTCATGAAAATGTCTACAAGTAAAAGTACATCAGTTTCAAGATATAAGTCATGATATTCTCCAAAATTCTTCATCTCAAATTCTTGCCATACCTTTTGAGCATGTTCATAATTCTTTTTACTAATATTTTGCTGGCTAAGAAGCGAATAAAAACCCTTTCTAGGTAGGAGGCTTGTTCTGCCAAATTTTTCTCATGCATTTGTCCAGTCATATGGAAAAACACCCTTTTGAAAAAAAAGCTTAATCTTATCTATTAAATAGCCTTTCTCAATAAAGTACTTAACAGTTAGGGAAAATTTTTCAAACTTTCCTTCTAGACATTCTACTATTTATCTAATCCCATTTTTATATTCTAAAAACTATCAAGAAATTGGAGCTGGCCAACGTCTATGGCTTTGTACTTTTCTATATTTTCTGGAATGCAATTTAGCTTATTAGCTGTGAACTTGCTCACAACTTTCATAAGCGGATGAGAGTCATATTCTCAGAAATTATAACATATAAGAGGTACTTTAGTTTATTCTGTCGTCTTATTGTATGTTTTAAGATCTTCTGATGCCATTATCATTTCTGCAGATACAGATAAGTCCTCCTGTATATTTGCTAGCTCCTCCTCTATTTTTATAACGAATCTTTCAAGTGTATCTGAACCCTATATAAATCTTGACTTATGATTTCATAGTTGAGTAAACTATCTATACGAATAACTACATAGCAATAGCCATACAGCTTATGCATCTATAATCTTTCAGTATGGATTAACTTTGTCTTCTCTTCGGAGATTAACTTTCAGTTAACATTTTTAGATCCCAGAAAATGTGATATGGATTTGGTTGCATGCATTTATGGTTATAAAAAACTTTAATACTCCTATTCTTAACTAGCATTTGTGATCGCTGGAAGGCATTATTTAGACCCTTACATTTTGACGAATGTTCATTATATCTTATCTCTGAAGAGTATACATGAAGACAATAATGACAAATGTATTTTCACCCTTTATGTTTGTTATGATTATATACTAGCTTATGTAAATCTTTGATAATACAGTAGTGACTTCTTTCTTCTTCTGTAATTACTAAAGATTTACTTACTTATATTCATCCTCTTTTCTTTCTGAAACATAGCAAAAGTCAAAACATTTGTTTTAATTATACCATTCATTGACACATAGACTGATTTCAGAATTATTTTCTTTGAACTTTTTATAAATTAGTGTTGAGACTGGCACTAGAACTAGAATATCATCTATATTAAGCTTTTTCACAAATCTCCATATAGCTGATACAGATTTCTTTCTGGATGAACTTTAACTGGATGCAAAGCTCTTAGGACACACTATCTAAAACACTAGTCATTATTATTTTGAATATTAATAATTCCATTATTACGTTTTGGCAAAGTTTCTGGTAAAGGTATATAAGCGGTAGGACTAATCAGATAGAAATCAGCTATCTCTATACTAAATTCTTCTATATATTCTAGGTAAACATCAGACATTTGGTATATTAGTTAGCTCTAACCGTTACACTATTACTTGTTTATATAATTTTTTCTTTAATTATTTATTTCTTATGTACCTATTACTTTTCGATCATAGAAACCCTACTGAAGATAAGTATTTATAAGCTTTTCAAGTGGTTCTAGCTATTGCAAAACTGAAGCATTAACTAATTATTAATCTTTTCAAATCTAGTAATAAAAAAGTAGGATGATCAGTGAATATTCTTGCACATTTCTCTGCAATACTAAAAAGGCTTATAGAAATACTAGTACTAAGTCTGAAGGATATTGATTCCATTGGAAGGCTAAAAAACGTATATCTTATTCTGATTACAAAAAGCCTACAGCCTCTGCTTGTAAACGATGTTCACTACATATTAGAGGTAATTATGTTGCCTGACACTATGATAGACTTCGATGAGAAAAAACTTATATTAGCCAATCCTATGTTAGCCAATTCTATAATAGACTTCAATCAGAAATACGAGAAAGAAGTTATGAGGAAATAATAGTTACCTATAGAAATACGCTTACAAATCTTAATATTTCTCTTTGTAGGGAATGCCTCATTTTGATAAAAATGGGGAAAGGTGATTATTGCGTTAGTTGCCAATCAGAATAAATGAAAATTATTTCAGCTAACTTAAATTTTAAGCGTAATATCCAATAGACATTTGCTAAATTTTGTTAAACTTGTTTTTTATATTTTTTTTTCATTAAAGTTTTATACTATTTGATGAGCTAGTCTATACTAAACCCATTCTTGACTAAGGAAAGTTGTGATAATTTTATGGATTTTTTGAAATTTTTACAAGAGTTATTTTTACTAGACTTTTATATAAAATATGCTAGTTACAAAGCTAGTCTACACAAAACCAGTCCTTTATTCACAATTTTTGTTAGATTTATTAATGGGAAATTTAGGACAATTGTTTGACTTAAAATTTTTTCGTTAGACTTAAAGATTAATATACTATTTAGTAATCTAGCCTGCTTCTGAACACATTCTTGACTTAAAAAAAATTAGGACAAAAGTCTTGTTAGATTTATTTAAAGATTATGCAATTTAATGAGCTAGCTTGTATAGAAGCTATTCTTGTTTATAGTAAAATTTGTTAGATTTAAAAGGTCACATGATTTTTTTCAATATGCTAATTAATGTGCAAATCCTTGCAGAAGCAATTCTTGATTAAGGAAAAGTTAGGACAAAAACTGTTAGACTTATTTTGGTTAAACTTAATTTTTCATTAGACTTATTTATGAGATAATAAAGATCGTTAGACTTATTTTGGTTAGACTTAATTTTTCGTTAGACTTATTTATGAGGTAATAAAAACTATTAGACTTATTTTGGTTAGACTTAAGTAATTAATATGCAATTTAAAGAGCTAACTCGTGTAAAAACAATTTCTAATATAATAATTTTTCATTAGATTTAATAAATATAACTGAAAAGTTGATATAGAAATTAAGATTCTAAAGTTGTTAGAAGCATTTCTAATATATTAATAAAAATCGATATGCTTTCTGAAGATGGAGAACCCATATAGAGCTTTAAAATATAATATCAAAATTAAGATTCTAGAACTAATAGAAGCTTTTCTAATATATAAGAAAAAATCAATATTATTTTTAACGTTCTGTGGTCTACACATACAATGTTTCAGTAGGGAATCAGACCTTTAGTCCTCAAACGCTCACTTTCACATTGTGTAGTTTTAAACGATTCCTTTATTAATATTAAAACTTAGTTGTTAATTCGTAAAAAAATTAATTTATAAAATAAGTAAAGTCTATTTATTTATACAAATTTTTTTTGTTATAGCTAACTATTTACTATACTATAAACTAATTAATTTGATAAATAAAAATATAAGTAAAATAAAAATATGTAAAATAATAAAAATATAAAATATAATAAAAATAATAATAAAAATTAGAATATTAAGAATAAGTATAACATTAAATATTTTTAGACTTCATTTAATTCATAAAATTAGGATTATCATCAGTATTTGAAAGATCTGTAGAATTACATAAATCCTTTATATTTTCAGAATTTGCAGAATTTTCAGTATTTTTAGAATTTTAGACTAAAAGATCATCATATTGTGTAATCTACGTAACTTTATTATAATTAGTCAATTATTTTATTAATACCATAAACTGATATGATCATTAAAAAATTATTTGAAAATTCAAAATTAGCTATTTGGTAAACTTTAATTCTGATCTTAATTTTTCTTTTTACATTGACCTATATTTGAAATTTATAAAGATTTTTTTCCTAAAATATTTTCACTATCCACAAAGAATAATGCTTTTAAAAATGTCATTAATACTTTTTTCCTTTATTTTTTAGGTAATAGAGGCTTTAAAAATATTCTCGTAAATTTATTAGAAAGGTTTTTTCAGAATTGATTTTAAGAATGTTTTTAACATTTCTTTTTTTGTAAGGAATGAATTCTAGAAATTTTGGAAATAACTTTGTAAATTCATTAGAAAAGGGTTTATAGTATTGACTTCAGAAACATTATTAACATTTTTTTTTAGGAAATAAAGATCTTGAAAATGTTTTCATAAGTCCATTGGAAAGGTTCTTTTTAGCATTGACTTCAGAAATATTATTAACATTTCTTTTTCTTTTTTTTTGTAGAGAATGGAATCTAGAAGCTTTAAAAATGACTTTATAATTTTATTGAAAAAGATTTTTTATAGCATTGACTTTAGAAATATTATTAACATTTTTTTAGAGAATAGAGTCCTTAAAAATATTCTTATAAGTCTATTAGGAAGATTTTTTTTGATATTGACTTTAGAAATATTATTAATATTTCTTTTTTTTAAGAAATAAAAACTTTGAAAATATTCTCGTAAGTTCATTAAGAAGGTTTTTTTTAGTATTAACTTCAGAAATATTATTAACATTTCTTTTTTTTTAGGAAATGAAAGCTTTGGAAATACCCTTATAAATCTATTAAGAAAGTTCTTTTTAGCATTTACTTAAGAAACATTATTAATTATTTTTTTTTCTTTATTTTATAGGAAATAGACTTGAAAAAGATCTGTAAGATCATTAAAAAAGTTCTTTTAAAATTGACTTATTAAACATTATTAATATTTTTTTATTTTGTAAAAAACAGGTTTTCAAAATTTAGGAATAACTTCATAAGTCTAACAAGTAGGTTCTTTTTAGTATTAATCTCAAAAATGTTATTACCTTTTTTTTTTTATATTTGTAAAAATGAGACTTTTAGACTTAATTTGTAAAAAAAAGTACAATGAGTACTAAATCATTAGTTTTTAAATTTAACTTATCTTTTTTATATCTATATATTTTCAAGAAATCTTGTTAGCAAAAAGATTATTAATTTTTATTTTAATTAAAATTTATATAAATGATTAAATTAATATTAAATGAACTTTTAGATTATAAATTAAACAGTTTTAATAAAAAATTAAAAAGTTTTTAACATGTAAAACTATTTAAATATTTAATTGTTCAACTATTTATCATAATATTTATTAATAATAAAATAATTATTCATCTTTCTTAAAAGAGAAATTCATTGTTTGCTAAATATAACATTTAATTATTAAATTTTAAATTAATACAGATCAATGCATTTGATATAAATCATTTTTACATTATAAAAGATATAAATTTTTTTTTCATAAAATATCATAAAAATATAAAAAAAAAATTCT